GGGGGCGTGTTACTCCTTCACAGAGACACCACTGCTTCCACAAAAAGGGCAATGGTCCTTTTTATGCTGGCAGGGGACAGGCTATTGCATTTAGACTGTGGCTGCTTTTTAAAGAAAACACACTGTTAGACTTTGAACACCTGTTGTTTTGAAGCATCTGGAATGTACTTAGCTGAATTAAACTGATAGTTCAGTTCGGCTTTTAGAGCTCATTCCCACTCTTGCTATTGCACTGTTTTTATTGTGCATTGCAGCATGCTGACAAAATGCACATTGTATGTGCCATGGGGTGCGTGTAAATGTATTTGTAGTAGGATCTCAAAGACGTAACGTCTGCTTTGTTGCTATTGGCAATAGAGACACTTCACTTTTCACTAAAATTCTTGAATATTCCTGTATATATTAAAAGCTGTTCACTGATTATCCACTTTACCCCCGCATTAAGGGGGTCAAAAGAATCTCAGATTCAGATGAACTAGGAAACTCAGAAATAAGTGTCCTACATCATCATCATCCTTCTCTGACCACAGATTTTCTCTGTATATTTACAGCAGCAACAAGAAGAGACGAAAAGAAAGGCAACTCTCTCTGACATCTATGCGGATAATGAAAGTTCTTACAGTGATGAACTCTTTTTTGGCCGTGAAGTTTATGGACAAAGCCGAAATGTAAGTAGCTTATTTGTTATGCTTGGCTTCTGTTGAGCGAGAACTAAAGTAGATCATGGTTTAACCTGCATCACTAGATGTGTGTACTGAATTAGGTGAACATTTGGCCAATTGTACAGATCCCTACTCATCTCCCTAAACCAATTCTACCTACTGGACAGTTGCCCTGGTTTGGGGACAACTGGCCTGCATCCATCTCTGCCTCCAACATACAGTATAAACTTTCCTCTCATTTTATTAATTTGCCTATATTTCCCAGTGATAGCACTAGACGAAACTACGGTGCAATCATACCTCCTAATACACCTTGATAGCGCTGTGTGGCATCTGTATATATTTTTTTTAGTGTATGCAACAGAGACCTACATTTTAATTAATGATTAATTAATGATTCAGTTAGCTCCCTTTTGGGAGGCCTAGTGATGGGGAATTTATTTTATACACTTACAAGGAATTGCCTGTCTTGCATACACCTATCTCTGTTACTCATAAACCGATGAGCTGCATGTCATGCTCACTCTTTGTCAAATTATACAATCAAGTAAAGTGAACATTTCTTCTTTTAATTTTAATAATATACAACATATTTATAGGCTCTATATACGTTTTACTGATCAAATAAAATGTGTAAAGCTATCATAAAATTGTAGTGTTTTATATGTATTTTTAAAAATGATCTGATCGTATGATTAGCACGGTTATTATCATTACCATGTTGTGAATAACCTCTATAATCTGATACCATGCTGGCAGGGAACCAGCAAAACAAAGGGCGCCTCCCTAGTGTAGAAGTTTTTATTAATCAATATAAAAAAGAGAGGATTGTACTCGCAAAGATCCAATAATAGATAGCCTGTAATGAGAGAGATCACAGCAACACTATGGAGATAGACGAACAGCTACGGCGTAAGGCATGCAGGTAGGAAGCTTCATCTAATTGTCATGTATTTAGATGGATGAAGCTTCCTGCCTGCATGCCTTACACTGTAGCTGTTCATCTATCTCCATACTTTTGCTGTAATTTCAGTCATTACAGGCTATGTATTATTGGATGTTTGTGAGTACAATCCTCTCTTTTTTATATTGATTCATTCAAACTTCTACACTAGGAGGTGCCCTTTGTTTTGCTGGTTCCCTTCCAGATTTCCAGTTCTCCTGACTGTTAAGGTGCTGCCATCTCGTGGGAGTTAGTTGCGTGCATCCCCTCAAGGACGATGGACAGTTGGCGCTAGTTGTTTCTTCTTTCTCTGATTCCATTCTGTCCAGATCTATTCACAACACACATATAAGTATGAGTCCCTCTGCCAGTTCATATAGAGAAGTGTTTTTGTTTTTTTTGTTTAGTCACATAAACAGTATATAAGGTACTGCTGGGCTTTCTTGGTATTACAGGATAGCACCTTGTGTTAAATGTTCATTTGTTACTTTAAAAAGAATTCACAAAATGTAAAATAATTTGAATAAGTTTGGGACATTAAAAAATATTTGATGAAAACCCATTCTTGTTTCTTTACCTTAGACACACTTTGTATTGTAAGTATGCTTAAAGGAGAACTATGGTGTCAGGGCTTTTCCCCATAGTTCTCCTTAGGGTAACGGGAGGACACAAACTAGCGTCCTCCCGTTACCCTAAGCTCAGTATGAGACACCGCAGCCGGAGCGGATCACGACTTAGATGACGTGATCCGCCCAGCTGCGTGAGTGACAGCTGGCTCTGCCTGTCTAGAGGCAGAGCCATCTGTACCCGCCCCCTCCCCCGTCCGTTCCGCCAGTCAGCGCTGGCGGATCGGAGCGGGGAGGGGGGACTCCAGCCCCTCCCCTGTCACGGCAGAGAGCCGTGACAGGATCGAGAGGTGAGCGAACGCCGGTATATGTTCGCTCACATCCCGATCTACTGAGCCGACCTGTGACAGTCTCATTGTCACAGGTCGGCTAGAACTATGAGGTGATTGAGAAACACTCACCTCATAGTTCTCCTTTAAAGAGGCTGACAACAAAGGCACCCTTAGAAATGTTTAGACAAAACATTTAGACAATCTACAAGCAGAGACTTATAGATAATTACCAGCTAAGGGCAGATGATTCCATCTTCCTTTACATCCTGGAACTCCGGATCTGCCGTCTGGAACATGTGACACATCACCTGAGGGGAAACAATGCCTTTCCTCTCGAGATCTTATGAGATTTTTCAGTTTACAGATGAGATTTCACAGTAGGGCACTGGTGATGTAACCTTCCCAGGATACATATGTGATTCCAGGATTACATCACCAGTGCCTCACCCAACCAGGAAGTGTACAAACAGTAATTGTAAGTGAAAGCAAAAAAATATTTGTTTAACTAATGAATGTAAGATGATTTCATATCAGCATGAGGAACTGCATGCCGATGTGATTTTTAATGAAAAGGGGTAAAGATCCACTTTAAGTATGTTCTGTAACTAATAAAAAAGTCAAGTACAAGAAAACTTGTGCTGTTAGAATGGCAAAACAGGAAATGTCACTTAATTATCCATAAATAACTATTTCATATTAAGTGACGGAATGTTTTTATTATACTCACACTCACCCGGCAGTTTTTGCAGCTGTTTATTACCGAGCGACAGTAACTAGACGCCATCTAAAGATGTCATGTCATTTTGTATGGCAGAGTTTGTCCTATTCAATTTTTGAAATATTTTAACAATAAAGTGCTGGACTAACTCCACTTTTTTGCTTTTCTGTGGGTATTGTAAAACAGTTCTGTTCTCCTAAGTCTGCACAGGTTCGTTATGTATGCATTGCTTATTTTGCCTACATCTAGCTGGTTGTAGTGAGAGATTTACAAACTCTGCTCTTCTTTGGCTGTCCTAAATGCTATGTCTATAGACAGAGTATACCAGTGTGTATTTAAATTTGTTTTTATTTAGGTTTTAACATAGCTACAGGGATATAAAACAAAACAAAATAAAATAATATAATTAAATAATAATATAATCCAAAGGAAAAGGGGAAAAAAAAAAGACAGAGTATACCAGTGTGTACAGCCGAGCAAAATGATGTAATAAAAAGAATTGTAAGTCGATGTCATTGTGTATCATAATGTTTTGCAGGTATCCTGGAGCTATTCAAAATACTTGGAGGCACTGGAACAGGAAAGGATATTGCTGAAAAGACAAGAAGACCTGGAGAAGAAGTCTGGATCAAGCGTCATATCAGGTAATATGATCAGTCTTATCGTATCTGATTTGCAATGTTCTTATAAAAGCTTCAGTTAATAAAAATAAAAAAGAACAAAAATGTAATATATTGCATCTTTCCAGTCCTTAGATGTGGTGACTGCATTTGTTTTTTTCAGGATATTTTTCCATTATTTCCACCTAGTGATCATGCCAGTAACACACTTACTATCCCAGGGGGACAACGCTCTGACCACACTGCAACACCCTAGAGAGCGACTGCAGAACACGCCCCAATTTTCACCATAACATGGGGGCAGAAGGTGTTCTATAGTCTTATTATGACTATAGTCATAATGATAGCTGGTAACAATGCTAATTAATAACAGCCAGCAGAGGCTGAGAGCACAGGACGTTATCAGCTAACAAGATTTCTGGCAGGAACAACAGGGATGTCTTGCACTTATTGAACAGATATAATAACAAAACAATTTCAATTGTTTATTTAGACCAAAGGGTAAAATAAGAGAAGCACATTGTTAGGGATTACATAACCTTGAATAGCTTATATTTGCAATATTGGGGTTTTCACATTAGCCTCCATATTTTTATGAGTTATCCTTGTGTGATCGGTCTGAGAGCTTATAGCTATAATCAGGTCTATTATACTCTAAGCCCAGAACAATATGTAATGTCCAAATGATTGATGAAGGCTTATACAGAACACCTTTTTTAATTTTGCAAGACTAGAAGGTGTTTCATATCCCTGTAAAAAGAACAGCAAAGCTCTGTTGTCCTGACTACTCAGGACTTTATAGCTTCAATTCAAAATGTTTTACAGAATAAGGGTCTTCATTTTCAGCCGTGTGACTGTAATTTTCAAATTTCATTGGGTTCAAGTGAAAACACAAATCATTTTTTTGTTGTTTTAGGTTCATAAATTTAGCCTAATGTATGAAAAGTATGCATGCAAGCAAGCATGCAAGTAAAATATTTTTGTTAAGAACCAATCAGATTGCTTGTTTAATTTTCATAACGTGGACTACATAAGCATCAGGTAGAAGATGGCTATAAACAATATATATCACATACAGCATGTTTTCATACAATCATCTGTCTGATTTTTATCCCAAGCTTTAGGAATTTGTAGACTAATTTCCAAAGCAACTCTAGAAACCCCAGTTCAGTAGCAGCTCCAGAAATTCAACTTAATAACATATTTTCAAACCCCAGCTACATATCAGGTCCAGAAACTTAGCTGCATAGGCTACAGAAACCCCAGCTTCATAGCAGCCCTAAAACACTAAGCTGCATAGGCTTCAGAAACCTCAGCTCCAAAACAGCTTCAGAAAACCCAGCTCCATGGCAGCCCCAAAACACTTAGCTGCATAGGCTATGGAAAACTCAGCTCCAAAACAGCTCCAGAAACCCCAGCTCCATAGCAGCCCCAAAACACCTAGCTGCATAGGCTATGGAAACCTCAGCTCCAAAACAGCTCCAGAAACCCCAGCTCCATAACAGCCCCAAAACACTTAGGTGCATAGGCTATGGAAACCTCAGCTCCAAAACAGCTCCAGAAACCCCAGCTCCATAACAGCCCCAAAACACTTAGGTGCATAGGCTATGGAAACCTCAGCTCCAAAACAGCTCCAGAAACCCCAGCTCCATAGCAGCCCCCAAAACCCCGGCTCAATAGCAGCCCCAGAAACCCCAGCTCTATAGCAGCCCCAGAAACCCCAGCTCTATAGCAGCCCCAGAAACCCCGGCTCAATAGCAGCTTTAGAAATCTCAGCTCTATAGCAGCCCCAGAAACCCCAGCTCAATAGCAGCCCCAGAAACCTCAGCTCTATAGCAGCCCCAGAAACCTCAGCTCTATAGCAGCCCCAGACACTCCAGCTCCATAGCAGCTCCAGAACCTCTAGCTCCATAGTAGCTTTAGAAATCTCAGCTCCATTGCCACTCCAAAAACCCTTCATAGTAGAATTAGAAGTCTCAGCTCCATAGGAGATTCAGAAAACCTAGCTTCATAGCAGCTCCTGAAACCTCAGCAGTTTGTCTGAAATTCAAGCTTAAGCATATAGGGAAGGCAACAAGAACAGTTAGATGTCATGGTGGGAAAAGGCAGAAATGGTAGATATGATTGCTGAAGTCACAAGGACCCAGGAGAACCTGGTGGATGATTTTGACCACATATCTACCAAAATTTGGAATATCAGATTTAGTTGAAAAAAGAGCGTCAGACTATTTCCTAACTGTTTTCTTCTTTGTTTAGATAATTCATCAGCCTACAGCATAGGAAGTGATGATTCTAAAAGATCGGGGAAGACCTTTAACTCATCATATGGACAAACACAAAGGCTTCTCTCTGCTGCGAGACGCTAATGGTGGCTATATGGTTCTGAACATTGTTCTGCTGCTTGTGTAACGTATGAGCCATCTTCAGCTTATTCCATTTACTTGTACAACTTCTTTTTCTTCTCTGGTCATAAAAAAGTGCATCAAAACTGGTATAAATGTCAAGTTGTTTTAATTAAAAAAGGTTTTGTGATTGAACACTAAATTATTTCTTCTATTTTTATATAAATTATAGTAACAGTGTGTTGCATGTAAACCAGTAGTAATGAGGCTGGGCCCTTGAAAAACTAGCATACTTGTCCTTTTCTGTTCCCCTTCCCCAGCACAATCATAGTTAATGTTCACCTACATTGGAAGGTTTGTGAAGATTTCATACACAGGCTGTGTAGTTCTAGCAAGTGGAAATCTTGGAGAAGCAGGGTTGGGCATTTGAGGATGGGCATGGAGGCAAAAAGATATTGACACAGCACACGGACATACAATTTAGGAGGGTGCTAGCAAGGATATCCAGCTGTTTCTTTCAAGATCTTTTTGTGGTTGGATTCTTAGTAAGTGACTAACTGCCATTTATTATGTCCATGTAGGTTTAGATTTCATACATCTCCCACCTTTTTGTGTACATTTTACTGCTTAATAAAGCTTTGTGACACTTGTGTACATTCTTTCACTTAATCACAGAATTCAGAAAAATATGGATACAATTTTGTAGAATAATATTCACAAAAATTCTGCGCTCAGGGAAAACTATAAATTAAGTCACTACAAAGCTGCTATTAAAAGGTAAAACCTGAAATCTAGTAAAAAACACAGCGCTGAGTAGGAGTAAATACCTAATAAACACTAAAAACAATGTGTAAATATGAATCAATTAAATAAATAAGTGATGTTTATATGTATCAATTTTGTAGAATAGATTATAAATTTTACACGGTTTATGTGGATCATAAGCACTGGAAGGTGGTCAGATAAGCCAGCACAATCTGACTGACTAATGTCTACGGCATTTTATTTATAAATAAGTTCAGTACATGTTTATGTGAATAAAACTGGTAGGTGGAAGTACATACGGGGCACTTCTTTTAAATGGCTTGTTTCATGGGAAGCAGTAGTCATTGTATAGCATTTTCCACCTTGACCAGTTTTTCTTACTCTAAGATCTACAGGTGAAACTCGAATAATTAGAATATCGTGCAAAAGTAATTGCAGTAAGTGCTGCAAAAGGGGCCCAAACCAAGTACTGAGTACATATGCATGCTTGTACTTTTCAGAGGTCCGATATTGTTCTATGTACAATCCTTGTTTTATTGATTGCATGTAATAATCTACTTTTTTGAGGTTGTGGATTTGGGGTTCTTGGGGTTTTCATGAGCTGTAAGCCATAATCATCACAATTATGACAAATCACGGCTTGAATTATCTTGCTTTGCATGTAATGAGTCTATCTCATATATTAGTTTCACCTTTTAAGTTGCATTAGTGAAATAAATGAACTTTGCACGATATTCTAATTATTCGAGTTTCACCTGTACTAGCTGGGAATGTCCGATGTATGTGATCATTTGCCTGATCCAGGTGTCTCATAATTTATATGGACAGTTTCAAAGCAAAACCTTTGGATACTTGTCTACTGGACTCTACGGGCCGGTGCACACCTAGGCGACACCCCACCGTGCGGATAGCCGCGCAGTTAGGACTCGCCCAGGTGTGCACCGATCGCGCTGTGGGTGCCATTTTTTTCCACTGGCACCCCAGTCACACCGGGCGGATCGCGCGGTTTCCTGCCACGATTCTGCCCGTGCTTCTGAACACGGGCGAACACAACACGCGGCTATTTTAGCGTGTTCAGAAGCATGGGTGGAATCATGGCGGGAAACCACGCGATTGCCGGCACGACTGGGGTGCAATTGGAAAATAATGGCACCCACAGCGCGATTGCTGCACACCTGGGCGACTCCTGCCCGCGTGGCAATCCGTGCGGAATTGTGCTCGATTGCAGCGTGCTGGGGTGTCACCTAGGTGTGCACCGGCCCTCAAGAGGAATGTCCACTTTGGCTGACAGTCCCCACACCCTAAATAAAAAACACTCTGCAAACCTGCCAAAAATGTAATTTTTTTGGAAAATTAAACAAATTAAACACTGCAAAGTGCAGGAGGGCATTCTTACAGAATTTCAAACACCCAGGTTTTCTGGCAGCGTTAAGTAAAGCCCAGCACTAGGCAAAATAAATTAAAATCTTGTAATGGGGGCCCACTTGCACTGCAAGGGTTAAATGCTTGTTTAGTCCAGGGGCAATAATAATAAGCAGTAATACTTACTTTATTCCTAGCTCACACAAGCTTCCATCCATATGTACTACTGGTCTCACAAATCCTCTGCTGTTCGTCACCCTTCCAACCACAGATCTGCATTGTACATGAGGACGACTAGGGCACACCTACATCTCAGGATGTCGGAGAGTGGAGAAGAGCGATGGTTATTGGGGGAATGGGAAATTAGGTGGTACTGCTTATTACAACCCCCCTAGAGAAAACACATTTAATTCATGCACGGGTTAAATGCTTGTGGCAATAGGGATACTATCAAGGGGGCTACAATGAGCTCTTCTATTTGTCACAGACCCTATCAGATCTGTTCAACAAGTAAGGAAATAGTTGGGTCATATAACATATCTGAGGTCTACCACAGAGCAAGCACACATCATCTATGTCAGAAACAAGATTGTGGTTTGGTCCACGCTCTCCAGTTATTCAGGAAAGGACAAAACTATCCTTCCAAAAAGACAGAAATACACAAAGACAAATGTGCATAATCTCATAGTAACAATCCCATAATAAAAAATTGTATTTGCTTAGAGAGGTAGAAGCTGGCTGCTGGGCACATGCAGACGAGCTCCTACTGTCTTTATCAACCAACATGGCCATGATACACTGTTTTCTCCCTTATGTTTGTCATTGACATTGTATTTATAGTTTTAATAAACTGTGTAATTTTGAATGAAGTTATTGTGCTTTTAGTTCCTTTAAAAATGCATGCTGAAAGCACTGTGTCAATGTACATTTTGGGATGTGTTATAATGCTGTTACAACACAGAAAGTCAGCCGTCGGATACTGTGTCCTTATGATGCGTGATTTAAATTATCTTCACATTGTTTGGGACATTAACCCTACTGTTGTCAGTAAGGACACAGACTTCCATACACCTTATACAACAATTATCTTACACAATTGGTAGAAACAACTAGAGTGGAAGCTCTGCAAGATTTGGCCAATATGCAGTTCTGGGGATATTTGGGCATTGGTGACCACAAACTGGTGCATCTGAGTTGTTTTCAAATAAAATATTTACAAAGGGGTCCACAGATACTATGCTTTTCAGTAAGGGCTTGTTCACACCAAATGCAGACCAGATCTGCATGAGTTTCTGCACACGCAGTGCAGTGGGTTGTGCTGCATTTTTTGCCACGTTTTTGATGCGTTCCGGGCCGTTTTTGGTTAAAAAAACAAAACTTTTTTTAGTTTAAAATGGGCTTTCAGTGCGTTCCAGGGCGTTTTCATGCGTTTCAGAGCGTTCCAGAGCAGGTAAAATAGGGCTTGCTGCAGTTTTTTTACATGCTCTGGAACTGAACGCTGCGGTGTGAACTAGAGCCCAAAATACCATTGGAATACATTGGATGCAGTTTTGATCCGGTCTGTAACTGCTCTGTTCTGCTCCTGGAATGCGCTTGGTGTGAACAAGGCCTAAAGGAAAGCTTAAGAAAAACTCAGAGAATTATTCTTGTCTTGTAGCCTAAGAAGCCATTACATTTGGGCCCCTGTAAAGCTCACCAGACATTATCTCCTCTGCTGTACTGCGCTGTTTGCCTTATCCACTAAAACAAAGCAAGTTGAGCAACCTCAAACACACTCTGTAAGAAATGAAAAACAATTCCCAAATGTCATTGGAAATCTGTTTTGTCTGTTGTTTATTTCATTGTTATTGAACGACTGATGACCCAATTAAAAAAGTGACTATAATCAACAGCCAACTTGGATGGGAGACATTTTGTGATCTTATTTAATGACTTAGTCTCTTCATTCATGGAATGTGGAGATAATGTTCTCTCTTCAGATGTCTTCCACATGAGATGTTTTGAGATCCAGATCCAGGGTCCTGGGAACACATCTTCACCGGTTCAGAGTTTCCAGAGCTTTATTACAGCTTGTTCTCACTGGAGTTCTTCTATTGCCTCATTAGCAAAAGGTCACCTAGTACAAAAAAAACCTTAATTAATATGGTTGTCATCCACTGTTAATAATAGGATGTTCTTTGTGTTCTTTAATGACTGAGCTGTGCTTAGAAATCCATCATACAAATCAATGTTGTGACATTCCAGGCATTGTGTATGTAAGTGATCTCTGGATAGTGTAATCCATTGAAGTGCACCTGTCTTTTTGTAGCTAGCAATATATGTACAAAGAGGACATTAATAAATGCTTGTGTGGCCTTGCATACGTGGGCAAGACCACTCAGCCGATGAAGGACCTTCTGGCCTCACATAAATACACAAAAGAAAAGAAAAGAGAGGGGTAATTTTAACATATTTGAAAGCAGCTGGACACAGTTGGGTTGATTTACTAAAAGAAAATAGGCTGTCTACTTTGCAGGGGAAGTTTACCTTGGCTTAGTCAATGAGGTGAAGCTCTGCTGAGTTCCATCATCCAATCATATACAAGCAAAAATACTTTTTTTTTTCCTTGCACATGCCCATTCAATAAGCTAAGAGAACATTCCCTTGCAAAGTGAAAATCCCCTTGCACAGCCAAAGCCTATTTGCCTGTAGGAAATCAGCCTCTTTGTGTCCCAGCTCAAATTTCAAATGATAGACCCCCCACCCCATGAATCAAAGATTTATGAATGGATCACGGTATTTACATATGAATGAGCCACGACTGAGTCATACTTAAATAACGCTGTCAACGTATATGCAAATTATGATGCACGACCCCCCACAATTGTAGAAGGTGGTACAGTCCGGGATTATGGCAG